GGCCAGCGTCCGAGGACCACGGGAGCCTGCCTATGAGGCAGGCGCTGGCCAGCCTCGGCCGAGGGGAAGGCCAGGCACTCCCCAGGCGTGCGCACAGGTCAGAGCTCGCCATTTAGTCTTGGAGGGTACAAATGAGGCAAGCGGAAAGCTTTCCGCAGGTCCCCAGGAGACTGGCCTCTCTGGCCAGGGATGCTGTGTGGGCCAGCAGCCCGTCCTCTCGCCCCTGCGGCCACCTTTGACGTTAAAGTCCCGCAGGCTCTCGCAGGCCGCAGAAGCCGTGGGCACTGAGCTTGGGTGACTGAGTGAGTCATGCTCTCACCAGGGATGCGACCCCCACAGGGCTCTGCTCCCCACGGGTGCGACCCACAGGGACTTAGGCCTTAGGAAGCCCAGCGAACCCGTGGGGAGGGGCGTGCTGGGAAAATGACTTGCTAGGGACCCGGCGCTGAGCCACGGGAGGGCTCTGCGGACCGGGGGCCACGCCGGGATGCACGCTCCCACGGGGGTCCGCGTCCATCCTCACCTGAGTGATCTCTTGGGTGGTGATCTCAATGGCGTGCTCCTGCTCACTGCTGTCATCCAGGGTGGGTCTGTTTAAATGCTGGTCATGAAGACTGGCTAATTCCTTCATCTTCTGCTTAATCCGGCCAACATCGTACTGAATCTAAACAGATGAAATCACTAGAACCCCACCGACACCTGGCAGGGACGGCTAGCCACCCTCGAGCACAGAGTTCGGTCTTCAGCCAACTTGCAGGCTCAACGAAGCGCGAGCAACTTTTAATTCAGATGACCAGAAACTCAAATACCGCTCCTTGCCACACAGCTCTTCAATTTCCTTCTTTAATTCAGGTAGCTTCTATTAAATACAAAATCTTAAGTGCACACATGAACACCACCCGCGGTGTGTAAAGCAAATAACCCTAAAGCTACAGCTTCCAGAGACGCGGCCTCAGGGCGGCAGGCCAGTCCCGGGCGAGACGGGAGATGCTCAAGCCCCAATCACTCGACGGCAAGCGAGTGGTGTGAAACTAACATTCCACTTACTTCGTCCACTCCATCCACCCATTTGGGGGGCGACCGTTTTGTCACGCCAATCGCGGCTTCTGGATCTGAGCTGAGGCCCGAGACCAGCGCCATGCGGTCATCAGCCAGCTACGGGGAAACAAAGGACAGACCCCAAATCACTTGGACCCCAGTAGATCAGCTCCTCTTGCTCCCCCCTCAGAAGACTGAGACTCGCAGGCAGGGCGCTTGCCTGGGCCATACACCACTCTGTTGCCGCGAAGATTTGCAACTGGTTCCTGGTTTTCCAGGCCCCAGCTCGCGAGTCCCTTGGAGGTGCCTATGGCCATGAATCTGACGTGACCCGGTTGTAGAAGAGTCATGAGGAAAGTCAACAGGAAATCTTTAGGTGCCCGGGACCACAGCTGCTCTGCACCCCGCAGCAAAGCGCAGCACCCTGCTCTCGCCACTGGTCACAGGGCTGAGACGGCTGGCAACGCTTACGTCTCAATGCAACCTCACACTGCCGCGCTTTTCCTCGGTTAAACGTCCACAGGCCACGTTCCCACTTACTTTGAGTGGCACCGAGTCCGTGTTCACTTCACCTACGTGACACACTGCCGTGGAAAGCTTTAAGAATGAGAGGAAAATCACGTGTCGGCTTGGACAAGCTGCTCTCTTGCCCGGAGGCAAGAGCGGCGGAGAGGCTCTGAGGTGCCCTCCGGAGCTTGGAACTTACAGACGCCTGTCTCAAAAGACCCAAATGGTGATCCCAAACAATGCAAAACAGTATACAGAAGTCCTTTACGGGAGAGGCTGTGCAATTTTCTGAATCATACTGCAAGAATTGGGTGAAGAATGTATATCACTTTACTTACCCTTTCACTGGCTTTATCTAAATTTACTTTTTCATTCATTCAGCAAACACTTGTTTGCTTTTCTAACAATGAAGGGTCAAGACCACATTTAAAATTCCACAAATAAAGAGGGACACTATCTGACAGAGAAAAACAGACTAAAAGGATCCTGAAAATGAGACCTTCCATCCGACACAGAGAACTCACGGGCAGACACCACCACTGGCGCGGCCGCCCGCCCGCCTCGCGACCAGGCCCGACGGCCCCGTGCGCCCGTCCTGTCAACAGCAAGCTGCGCTGCGTGCCGCCGGCGGACGACAGGCAGGGCGGTTTGCTCCTCCGGCCAGAGAGGCGTCCCCAGCCCCAGACGCCGCCGCAGCAGGCGCCGGCAGGGCTGTTCCCAAGGGAAGGGACGCCGCTTGCGTGTCCAGCCGCCTAAACCGCCAGATCCTAGGCGGCCGGGGCCTCTCCTCGGGAGGAGGAATTGCCACTCTGCCAACTCTTTGCTGAGTTGGCCATTTCTCGTTATTACACCTTATTTCCATAAAGTAATAATAAGTTGTTTAATTTCATTTTTAAAATTCAAGATCTTACCTTGTACTGTGTGAAAATATACACTAAACTATAAAAGATACAGAAATGGTATTTACCTAAATTTATCTGCATAGTAATTAGTGCCAATTTATCTGAAAATAAATGAGAAATCATAAATCACGTTTGTGAGCTGAAATGGATTCTACTCTTTTAAGCCACGCTCGATTCACCAAGAGCTGTGCTCCCGACAGAGGCCACTGGCGGGGCCAGGTGGCCGCGTCTCTACGTCACCCAGAGACCCCCCCACCCAGGTCACCCCGAGACCCTCCGATGGGGCCGGGCCAGCCAGCTCCCGCACATACCCGCTTCGCCGGGAAGCACAACAGGGACTCTGTGGGGCTGCGGACTCCCCTGGGGAGGAAATTCTGCAACTCCCCCCTCCCCCGGGGGGCTGCAGAGGCCTCTCTGAAGGAGCTGAAGCCCCCACTGGGGAGACGCACCCTTTACTGTAGCTGGGGGTCTGTGACACACACCAGTGTGCTGTCTGGGAAAAACCAAACCAAAAAGCCAGGTTTCAGGAATGGAAAAGTATAATCGAAGAGAAATGTAACTCATGTAAACAGACAGGAATGTAAATAAAAAAATAAATTTTAACTCTAAAAAATCATCCCTCCAATTTCCAACTTTAGAAGCTTCGTTTCCCATTTGAAATCGTGTTTTCTCATTTTTTAAGATCCAGACTCAGTCAGTTTTCACACTGTTATCCTATTCAGTGCAGACCTTCAAAAACTGCCAGATTTTAAATCACTGTATTTATCCTCACTGAGTTTCAGTTCAGTCCCACTGGACATGAGTGGACATAAAGCTTTTCCTCAGCTGAACTTGTGCTTTTAAAGTAAAAAAAAACAACAAACTTTCCATTTACTAAAATAAGAAAAAAAGTTGTATTCATGAAAATCACTCTGACTTTTTGGCTTGTACTTCCGTCCACCGTGGCCTGTGGGTGCACCGCCCTGACCCAGAGCCACTGACCAGCTCGCGGGTGCTGGCCCTCGGGCTCGCGTGGTGGCTCACAGGCCTCGCTGGCCGCCTTGCTGCCGTGCTGCACCGGCGCCGATGTCTGCCCCCGAGAGCCCACCCCCCAAACCTTGCTATTCCAAACACACGGTCTCCCTGCACCACCTTCCCAGGAAGGCACATGCAGAGCGCCCTACAGTCGGGGGATGGCGCTGGCCTGTGGAGTGGGACCCCACCACACGCATGGTGACGAGGCCCAGCGCCGCCCGTTCTGGGCTGTGACTGTGGACACGCGAGGCCGCGGGGAGCAGAAAGCGGCCCCCGCACATCTGGAGCGCGTGCGGCCCCCCGACTGCCCGCCAGGGACCCGCCAGGTCCCTCACGGGATGATAAACTCGAGGGCCGCAGATCAGATGAGGGTGTTGGCGTGCGGTCCCCAGAAATCTGTGACAGCTTTAATCAGTTGACTTTTTTCTAATTATGAAACTAATAAAAGTTCAAAACAGACACTTTCTAAGTGTACAAACTATAAAAGGCCGGAGAACCACGGTCACCAGATGTAAACACCAAGTGGCCGCCTTTTCTCTCGACTCTGGGCTCCACCCTCCCGGCCGCAGGGGAACCTTCGCCCAGCTCCTGACTTTCCCCAGGCCCAACAGTAACACCTGCGAGGCCTGCCCCTCCTGGACAGAGGTGGGCGGCCAGCGGTGCCCTAGGAACCTGCCCCAGGCTCGCGCAGCTTGCCATGTCTGCAGACTTCCCACGTGACTGTTGAGGCCCAGCGGCATGAGGGGTCACTCAGTCACAGGGATGAAGGGGCAGCCAGCACACTTCTCGGGGCCCTACCGGCGTTTCTGGAGAGGGATAAAGATGGGTCCCGCGAGGTACAGGTTTCCAAGCGGGTCTGAGCGGGGCAGACTCAAGCGGACAGGTGGCAGGAAGCCGGCTCTGGGCGGCCCCTCTGCTGTCAGGGAAGTTCCCCCAGACTCACCTACGGGGGAGCAGGAGCTGGGGTCACTTCAGTATTCCTGGAGGACGTGGATTTGCAGCCCAGCTGCTGCCACGGGGACCCCTGGCCCCAGGCACCACCCTGAGCCCACCCCAGCCCAGCACCTGGCACTTAGCAGGGCTAATCAGCCAGATCAGTCAGCAACGTATGGAACAAATAAACGCGTTGTACAATTGTGGAAATTGCACTCCACAGACATAATGGCTCTGGACAAAGGCGAGAGAGCAGGCTGGGCTGGAGGGAGGGGCAGGAGGGGCAGGCCGGCTTTGAGTCCGAGGATCTCAGGGCAGGGGAGGCTGTGGTGGAGGGGCGCCCCCCACCCAGGGTCTCGGGTGGGGCGCCTTTGGGCCCAGCTCTAGAGCAAGAAGAGCAATGGTCTCCAGTCCCTACAGGGGCCGCCAGTTTCTGGAACCTGAGGCTTGAACAGGAAGCGGGGACATGGAGCCCCCAGAAACAAGACCACTGTGCTGAGCAGGGGTGGGCCCTGATGACCTCAGCTGCTCGGTTCTTGGCGACTTCCCCCACCCTACCCTTCCCTCAGGACTCAGGGCTCCTTAAGTCCCCTATTTCCAAACAATTCATTACCATCTGTTCTAAACCTAGCTGCTTTCCAAACCCCGGAGCCCCCAGGCTCTGGCCTGGTCAGCAGATGGACCCGGCCAGCGCACCCAGAACCTTCCCAGGCTGCTGCGCCGAGCCGTGCTGGCCGGGATCCTGTGTCGGGCCGGCCCACACACCTGCTTCATTGAGTCACCAGCTAAGGTCTGTCTGAAATTCCTACACGCCTTTTAGCAAAGTAACAGAAGCTTTAAAACGGAGCTCCAAGCGAGCAGAATGAGCGACAGGACGTTTCTCTTCCGCAGAGGCTTCCCTAGGTGCCCACCAGTGACAGGCGTCTCTGCTCAGACACGCTGCAGCACACGCAAGTCCACGTCTGAGCTCTTTCATGAGAGTGGGCCTCGCCCACACTGAGGTGCGCCACCCCCGCGGGCGTCTGGGAGCGCCGCCACGGCCTCACGGCGCGCCTCACCTCTAGCAGCAAGGGCGCCTGCCGCGTGGAGACCAGAGGCACCTACTGGAGCAGCTGCCCGAGGCTCCCCGGCCATGGGCCTCCCCTCCGCACCGCTCACCCTCGGGAACTAGGACAAACAAAAGTGGAAAACACCCCCTACTCTGAGTGGCCTCCCTCAGGAAAGATGTGCCCTACGCCGCAGCAGGTAACAGAAAGGCGCGTGGGCAACCACCGGCCGCCCCATGGCCCCCAGCGAGAACGCAGCCCACGGGACAGGGCGTGCTCCTTCCAGCCTCTGGGGGTTGCTAAGAGGCGCAGGCGGCCAGAGGCTGCTCAGAGGGCGGAGGCAGGTCCCGGCCAGCACCTGCGGGACGCCCTCGGCAGGCCGGCTGGCAGCCTGGCTCTCAGAAACCAAGGGCTACACGTGTGATCCTCACACCCACCTGGTTCACACAGGTTCAAGAAAATGTCTGACCTCCCCCGCTTCTCCCACTGAGGTACTGTGCCAAGAGGGAGCTGTCCCTAGACATCCCTGGCACCAGTTCACCTGTGCAAGGACATGCTGAATACACCCGAAGCACTCAGTTATTAAACGAGCGATCGTAAGTAAGTAGTCAAACATGCCAGAATACGCATCAACTGTTAGCACTTTAGACATGACCGAAGACTTCAGAAAACAGGTGTAATACAAAAATATTCAAAACACTGTACCTCGTCCAGCTCCTGGAGAGACATGCGGTTCCCGTCCAGTTGGGGATAGCAAAGAGGAGGGACGGGGACAGACAGAGAAGGTGTGGTCAGTAGGGAAACACCGAGGCTCAACGGTCAACAAAAAATAGAGACCCACTATCAAAGGCATTAAACCCCCCACTCTTCATTTCTTTAAAAAGCTTTTAATTCTTACTTATTTTTTATTTTTACTTATTTATTTTTATGATGATTGTTTTGGTAAACAAGATAGGACACAAACAATACACAGCTGTAAGAGTCAAAATACAATCTAAGCAAACGAACGTGCGTGCATGGGCCTCCCGGGACCGTGGCAAGGGCCTCTGGGCCGCAAGGCGCGCCCGCGGCATCTCTCGATGCCCCTGAGGAAGACGAGGCCAGACGCAACGGGAAATGCAGTTTCACCACGCCCAATAGCTGCGGATTTCCCACGTCTATCTGGCCTGCAAATGCAGCACGCGTGGAAAACGAACGCCCGCGCGGTGCTGCGCGCGGCGTCCCAGAGGGCCAGGGCCGCCCGCGAGGGCTCAGAGCCCGCAGCTGCAGGCGCTGGCCGGGCAGACACAGGTGGCCAGACGCGCTGTCGCTGCTCCAGAGCACGCAGTCGCTGACACGCTGTCGCAGAAAGTAAACAAAGGGAGAGGCTTTTTCTGAGGGGAAAACAGGCAGGCAGCGGGCCGGCAGCAGCAGGCTGCAGACCAAGTCACACCGGAGGCTCCAGGGCAGCTGGCGCTCGCCTTCCGAGGAGGCGCTCACTCGTGACAGGTGATCTGAAGAGCGAGCTTTGCTTTTTACAGTATCGATCCCTGCAATACTAGTGGTGAATTTCAATAATCAATGGTGCTGATTAATTTGTGTTTAGTAATAAACTTAGAAAATAAAAAGCATAACTTCCTTATTTAAAGATTAATAGTGCAAATGAAACCGGTCTACCAGGGCCAAATACCATCAAACCACGAGAGCAGGAAAATGTAGTCCGCGGCATTCCTCCGTGGAAAACTCAATTAGCTGACATCAGCGGAGGCCCGGCGGCCACTCCGCCGTGGCTGCGAGCGGGCGGGCGACTGTTGACACGCTGCCGGACGGCAGCGTGGGAAGACTCTGACAGAAGGGGCCAGTGAGATCTGACTCACTTATCTTTCACGTAGAGGGGAAACGCTGTTTTCTAATGCGTGACATTTTCAGAAAGAAGCACCGAAGTGTCGGCATCAGAACACCAGCCGCAGGCAGAGCCGCCGCCCGCCCGCCCGCCGCGGCGCCCGAGGCCTCCGCTGCTGGAGCGAGCGTCTTCCGGGGCCCCAGCTGAGCCTTCGCCCTCATCTTTTGGTCTCTGCAGTCCTTCACTGACAGGCGGCGAGATCAGGCATGTGGGATTCCAGGCCTGTTCAGACTCCCCCACTCGGAGAGCGAGCTCGGGAGTGTACAGCCCTCCTGAAGCCCCACAGCCGGCTCACGCTCGGGCAGGGAGACACCGGGCGTGCGGGGCTCTGCACCCCACCTTCTGGATACCCCTTTATTACAACCCAAGGAGCTCCCTGGGATAGCTGCTCCCACCGCAAATCCTTTCTCAGGCCTTGCCCTCATTTTGCTACTTAAAAACTGAAGGCTTTTCCAACCCCCCAACAGCAAGTTACCAGAAACCTTCATCAAGACGTGAATTAAAACCTTTAGAATCACCACCAGGAAAAACCCAAATACAGCCAAATGAAAACACGTTACTGCACATCATCACCTTCTAAATCTTTATAATGTCTAAATCTCGGGTTTGACCTGCCAATGGCATACAATCAAGCAAATATTAAAAGCTTCAAGTAGCATGTGGAATTTATAGTCTAAAGAACTTTCTACATAAAACTGAAAAATAAGTGGAAACCCATCTGTGTTTACTCAGGAAGTCTGGAAAAGTCGAGCAAAATGAGTTGGAAACACAGGTCTATGCTATAGTGATATTTACTTTATTTCCGTTACTGCCAGAAGAAAAGTTTGCTTCACTTTTATCCAACAAAGTGCCCTTATTCTCAAGTAAGCCTCACTGCTCAAATGGAATCTTTAGAAGCAGAAAAGCAAATAGATCTAAAGAGAAACATACAATGATTTCATACTTGGATTCTGCAGACAGGGAACTAGTTCCCAGCAGAGGCAGCCGGCCGAGGCCACACGGGAGGTGCAGGGAGTGTCCTCCGCCCCCCTGGGGCCGCCCGGCAGCAGGCGGGCTTGGGTCCAGCCCCAGCGTCCCGGCTCACTGGGCGGCAGCGGCAAAGCAAAGCTCACTCTCCCGACCGGTATCTCCAGGCCACGAGGGCACACAGGGCTGGGGCCAGACACAGCGCTCCCCGCCCCCCAAGGAGGCGGCAGCCGTCCAGGCAGGGTGACCCGGGGCTGGGGTCTCTGCCACAGCTGAGCCCTACTGCTGGGGTGTGTGTGTTTTCCTTCAAGCCCACCACGTTTTATTAAAAATAATGTGCTAGTTTCCAAGGGATCGAGAGCAATTAACCCTGGCTTGCACTCAGACCAGCAGAGAACGAGGCACTAGACACCAACAGACCAGCTCCGACTGCTGGGTACACCGTAAGAGGACACCACGGCGTCACACGGGCAGCTGGGCAGATCAGAACAGCGTCACCCCACTTCCTCACTCACCGCCGGACTCACGGGCCCCTGGGATGACTGCTGCACACTGCGAATTCACTGCAGCTTGCGGCCGCGCCGCCTGGGAATGCCTGCACAGGGGCTGTTCTCACAGCTGCACGCGGCTGCCCAGCCCAGAGCCCCTTCGGGACGGCACTGGCCCAGCGCCGCCCGCCCTGCTGGCCGACAGGCATGGTCCTGCTGCGGCACCAGGTCAGGGACACACGCAGAACTCCAGAAAGCACTGGCGAGTGACCGCGGGGGCCAGCCAAGTCACCTCACTCTCCTGCCCACGCACGGGGCAGCAGTCTCCAGGGCTTACAGACGAAAACTGGTCCAGAGAGGCAGGCCAGGTGTGCCAGCGAGGCTGCGCCACGCCCAGATCTCACAGCCCAAAGCTCTTTACGCTGCCCTGAGGCAGGGACACCCAAACTCAGGCCAAAAACAAAAGGAAGGAGAAATGGCCATGACCGCGCTTTGCTCACTGGTCGTCTAACAATCAAACCCACGCTCTGTTTCACTAACACCAGCGCAACCACAACTGCAGTAAGGCAGAATTTCTTCCAAAGGACAGAGGAAAACTAGACTTCCACGCGAGGCAAGAAACTCCGCCGCTCTGCCCGAGCCGAGCCGGGAAAAGCAGAGCCTGGAAGCGGCAGAACGAGCGGCTGCAGGCTCATCCCTCAGGAAGGCTCCGCAGAGACCAGGGGGGCTCGGGGCTGTGGGGGCACAAGAGGGCTCGTGGCCAGGGGCTGAATGGGGAGGACAGCAGCAGGGCGGGCCCCTGGGGGGTTCGGCCGCTCCTCCCAGCCCTAAACCAGGGCACTCAAAGCGCAGCCCGAGACGTTCCGAACGAGGGCTTCGGGCGTGCTGATTTGAGGTGGTGAAATGCACACACCACTTTTCTGTGGATTTTCAGATTTTTTTCTCTTACCTAAGGATGTGAAAATTAAGCTTTAAAACTAAAAAAGAAAAAAAAAACTAAACCAAACCCTAATCCATTGCCATAGATGTGATTTATTTTTATTAAAAATAAGTTAACTTCCTCTGAGCATGAGCTTAACATTCTGGTAATTTTTTTTTAAGTTAAACTAGATTTAGTCACTTCCATTTTAATTACCTGAGTTTTGGATAAATATTTGCAAGCTGTCTTCTTTTAATTGTTTATTAATTTTGAATATAATAGAGACATCTTTTAAGTTTTTATTTCTATACTTTCAAGCATGCAAAAAAGCATGTCAAATGGCATGTCTATTAATAATAATTAAAAATGTGCTTTATTTTATTCCTTTATTGGGGGTTAAGTATATAATTTTGCATTTTGATATTTTGCTAAATTCTTTCTAATAAAATTAATAAATGTAATTCATTCCAATTAACAATTTCTTAAGAGCACACAGTTCATATTCAAATTTGACAGATAAAGTTTTGTTTGATTTTGCTACATGGTTTTAAAATGTGTCTCAGAAACGTGCTTTCAAAAATTTCACAAGCTGCACATGCAATGAAAGACATTCAGTAAAGCTTTGTTACATGCGGTTTTCTCCAAAGTGCTCATGACACTGCTCTAACTTCCAGGAACGCGGGACATCGCACCTTCTCGCCCACACCTGCCCCATTGGAGCGTGTGAGCTCCGAGGGCCCCTTCTGCGGAAGCAACTGCTGGCAGCTTCCCCTCTAAAACTCAGAAACGATGGCCTGACCTGTGTTTTTAGAGCACACCGTCAAAATATATTTTTTTTTAAATCTAGCTAAGTCAAGCAAACTCTTTGTTTAATTACAAAATCTTTTTTTTTTAATAATCTGGAGTACAAAATTGTATTGTAAATTATCTCACTGTTTCTGGGGACCTCAGAAAGATTTCAAGTTGCCAGACTACTACAAGTAGGTAACATCTTAACTGGTGTAACAAATAGGAAGTATTTTTGATGCTCTGATCTAGACATGTATTTTTCATTTCAGAAATCTACTTTCATGTTATTGTGTAAATTGGCTAAATGAAACTCCATTTTCTGACATTTCTATTTTTCCAAATTGTACATGTTGTTTGTTTTTAGCTAACTCTATCTGCACATTTCCTAGATTGTGTACTTTAGCTCTCCATTTTAAGTTATTTGACTTGGTTTTATATATATGTACATATATACATATATATTTTAAGTGATGTCTCGTTCCGAACATCATTTTAAAAACTGCCTTGACTCAGAGGTGCACTTTCAGCAGCTGCCCCTCAGACACCAGGCCTCAAGGGTCATCAACCATAATCTGAAAAGTCTCAAGCTACCTAACCATCGAGGGGATTTTGACTCTTACACTGATTAAAAATTCTAAAGCGCACAGCATGTTTTTCCAATCAGTTCAGGCCCATAGCCTTCCAAACGGTGACTCCCATTCTCATGTCCCCCCACACAAACAAGGTAACATAAAATCAAGCCATTTAAGAAACGAGCAGTTTTTAACATCTCACTTAACAAAACTAAAATTTCATTTAGGGATTTTACTCATTCAATTTCTACTCTAACTCTTGGCTTATTTCAGAACATCATTTTCAAAAAAAGCACTGGAAGGGCCCTTTCCGTCTCAGGCTACTTCACAAAAACGGCCTTTCTTTCCGCTTACAAATGCAAAACCCCTCAAATTCTTAAGTAAATGAAACCTAAACACAGTGTCACTGTGACTGTTTTTAGCCCGAGTTAAAAAAATAACCTGTGATTTTATTCCTGAAACTGTTCGCCCAACTTAAAAGCGCTTTTCTCTATCAGCAACACGGCCAGGACATTTTCCACTTGTGATTTGCAAAAAGGAAAAATTGTGTGTGTCGCCAGTGTGTCAACCATCAAACCACACGGCATAATTTTCCTGAAGCGTTTAAAGTCATAAAGAAAAACACGAAACGGCAACGCGGCCGCCGAGAAGTGAACTAAATGGGAGCGCCCCCAATTGTATTCGGGTTATAATCCCCAAGAAACTGGTCGTTGGGTGGTCTTATTTCCTCGGTCAAACCTATTCCAGCACTGCGAGCAGCCCCCCAGTAAAGGCCGCTGCACAGCTGCGCTCATGTATCAGACCGATCACCCCGAAGAGTTCGCCGAGGCCCCCGCACGGCCTGGCCCGAGGCGCGGCTCGGCGAGGAGCAGGCGCCCCGAGACTCCGGCCCTCTCCCGCGCCCTCTAGGACGGGCCTCGGCTGGGCTGGGCAGCTCCAGGTCGGCCGGGGTACGACCGCGTTCTGTCTGGGGGTTCATGCTCGCACCCACGCCAAGCACTTTTTACAAGTTCGAACGGAGGGGAAAGCTTAGCTTCCTGTGTGTGGGGGGGGAGGCCCCGGGCCTGGCACCCCTGGGCTGCAAACGCGAGCCCCCAGCAGGGCGGAGGGCA